GTCGTGATAAGAATTTTAGAATTATTCTCAATGATTCTTCCTTTCTGCTTCCTATTTCTATATCGGATCTTAAATCCTCATATCTTGATCAAAGCTAAGTACAGGGTATCCTGATGGAAAGGGGAATGCAAAGTTACGACTTTTAAACCAATTTGTACAATTTGTTTTTGTTTCTTTAAAATGTTTATTTTCATTTGCGGTTTCCCTGGGGAGGTAAATTGCGCATTCCTTGTTTATACGAAGCAATGGTGAAAAACGACGGTATCTTCCACATTTGGGATCAGATGAAGGTTTCAAGGGTATTGTTGTGCAATGTGCATCGGGCATTGATATCATTGCTTAGAGGGTCAGTTGAAATTACGCTAGTACAGTCCCTTTCAGGAAAATTATGTAATTTTAATATATTTCACCCTGTTAGCTTCTTATGTGTTTTCTTGCAAACACCCCATACCCGATTTAAAAAAATGTTAACTCTAGTTATAGCAATGCGTTGGAAGGAGTTGGATGTAAGGTGTAGGTAGAAGGAGGGGGATGTAAGGTGTAGGGAGAAGTAGGGGGATGTAAGGTGTAGGGAGAAGGGGGGAGACGTAAGATGGAGTATTCACGTGGACCATGGGAGAAGGAGGGGGAGGTGAGGTGTAGGGAGGGGGGAAGGGGCAGTATCTTTATGGTTGAACCACGAATCTCCAATTTACCACTGGCAGCATTGTTAAAAACGAGCGGAAAATCAAATAATTTGTTATTGGTATTTGTTGCATCAACCTGGAACAACATGATAGGAAGATGCAATTATTATCCATTCTTTAAGAATAATGCTAGCTTAAAGTTAACTGAAATACACATGACACACTTACATTTATCAGATTAAATATTTTTTAATTAAATATAAAAACAGATTAATTTCAAAATTGAATTGAACAAAGATCTAAAACTTTGGAATAAAATTGATATGACTTAATTTGATGTAAAAAGATGTGCTTTTTTTGCTAACCGGATCCCTGTTTTGGTCCAAATCTTACAACTTTAAGATCTTTGAAATTGGTTTGAAATTCTTGCTTATAACCCATTCAAAAGTTGTCAGTCCTTCATGAAAATTAAATTGTAGATGTAAGTTTTTAGACATTTGGACTTTCTATAGGACCAAAAATCATTTAACATTAGATAAAAAATAAAGAAAAAATAAAGAAAAACTTTAAATTCTTCATGAATCATGTGCTTAGGAGTTCCACCCACACTCAAGTTAAATAATGCACTTGCACTTTGTTGTATTTTGTTTGTCATACCGTAATTTCTTCTTTCAAGAATATTTCAAGGTAAACTATCATCCTTCCGGTTTTACTAGGGTTGAAACGATATTTTGCTACACAATTTCGAACATTTAAACTCAATTATCATTTCTGTTTTAATGAGCATTTGCTTTGAAAGCACTTTTAACATAAATGTCAAGAATATGATTCGCTGTTACTTTGTTCGTACAAAACAAATCAACACTATACTATTTGATTGTTAGTTATGAAACTTTGTAAAAATATCGATAACATATTGGCGGACGTAAAGCTATAGGCCATTATTTAAAGATGATTAGTCATGAATAATGTACATCTTTTAAGATTTATCTTATATAAATTAATAGTCCAAAAAGTGATCTTTAGAAAAGAATTTCTTTCTACTTTTTTTGTAATTTTTTTAAATTGTGCAAACAAGTTTTATTTTGGGTTTCCAGAGATTTAGGAGACATGATATGGATATCCGTAGATTTCGGAGAAAGGAGGAGAATTTCCGGAGATTTAGGAGATATGAGAAGGATATCCGTAGATTTCGGAGGAAGGAGGAGAATTTCCAGAGATTTAGGAAATATGAGGAGGATTTCCGGAGATTCAGAGGACAGGAGGAGGACTTCCGAAGATTCAGGAGATAGGAGGAGGAATTTCGGAGATTTAGAAGATTTAAGAAGGATTTCTGGAGATTTAGGAGATAGAAGGAGGATTTCCGGAGAATCAGGAGATATGTAAAGGATTTACGAAGATTCTGGAGATTTGAGAAAGATTACCGGAAATTTAGAAGATAGGAAGTGGATATCTCCGGAGATTATAGAGATAGGAGGAGGATTTCTGGAGATTTAGGAGATAGGTGAAGGATTTTCGGAGATTAGGAGATAGGAGGAGGATTTAGGATTTCCGAAGATTTAGGAGTTAGGTGGAAAATTACCGGGGATTTTGGAGAAATGAGGAGGACTTCCGGAGGTTCAGGAGATAGGAGGAGGGTTTCCGGAGATGGAGGTTAAATAACAGGAGGGTTTCCGTAAAATGGAAGAGGATTCCCGGATATGGAGCGGATTTTCAAAGAATGATGAGATTGAGGGGAAAATTTGGAGATTCTTGAGATATTTCCGGAGATTTATAAGATATTTTCGGAGATTCATGAGATTGGAGGATGATTTCCGGAGACTCCTGAGAAGTTGAGATGCGAGGATTTAAGATTTCAATAATTATATTTAGACAATGGTTTGCGGTTGGTATTGTTTAATACCTTAATTGCAGTTCAAGGGATAATTTAATTCAGATAAATTGTCTTTGTATTTCTAGCAATTCAATGCATCCGTTAGGGAAAGGGTTAGAAGTTGGACCGGGGGGGGGGGGAGGGGAATATTTTTAAAAAATCACTTATACCATAATTTCTATTCAAAATAATCAGAATACAATAAAAGTCACTTCAATGCTATGAACTTCTTTAATAAGTTAATAACGTAAATTATGTCACTTTTTATTTATTGATTTTTAAATTGCAATTAAACTGTTCAATGTTATTGTTATGAATCATTTTTGTTAATTGAGTTATGTTAGTTGATTGAGTTTTTTTCAGTTAATTCAGTTGTTTTAGTTAATTGAGTTTTTTCAGTTAATCGAGTTATTTAAGTTAATTGAGTTGTTTTAGTTAATTGAGTTGTTCAAGTTTATCGAGTTGTTTTAGTTTATTGAGTTGTTTTAGTTAATTGAGTTGTTTTAGTTAATTGAGTTGATTTAGTTAATTGAGTTGTTTAAGTTTATTGAGTTGTTTTAGTTAATTGAGTTGTTTTAGTTTTTTGAGTTATTTAAATTGATTGAGTTGATTTAGTTAATTGAGTTGTTCAAGTTTATTGAGTTGTAGTAGTTAATTTGAGTTGTTTTAGTTAATTGAGTTGATTTAGTTAATTGAGTTGTTTTAGTTAATTGAATTGTTTTAGTTAATTGAGTTGTTTAAGTTAATTGAGTTGATTTAGTTAATTGCGTTGTTTAAGTTTATTGAGCTGTTTTAGTTAATTAAGTTGATTTAATTGAGTTATTTAAATTGTTTGAGTTGATTTAGTTAATTGAGTTGTTTAAGTTTATTGAGCTGTTTTAGTTAATTAAGTTGATTTAGTCAATTGACTTGTTTAAGTTTATTGAGTTGTTTTAGTTAATTGTGTTGTTTTAGTTAATTGAGTTGTTTTAGTTAATTGAGTTGTTTAAGTTAATTGAGTTGTTTTAGTTAATCGAGTTGTTTTAGTTAATTGAGATGTTTTAGTTAATTGAGTTGTTTTAGTTAATTGAGATGTTTACGTTAATTGAGTTGTTTTAGTTAATTGAGCTGTTTTAGTTAATTGAGTTGTTTTAGTTAATCGAGTTGTTTTAGTTAATTGAGTTGTTTTAGTTAATCGAGTACTTTGAGCTCATTGACTCTTTAAAGTTGGCTTAGTTGTTGTAATTAATTGAGTCATCTTAGTTAATTGAGCTATTACAGATGAGTTGGTATCCATGTATTGAGACGTTATAAGTTAAGTTATTATTTATCAATTGAGTTATATATTATGGTAATTGAGTCATTCTAACTAATTGATTTTTCAGATAATTGAGTCGTTATATATAATATGTGGATTAATTGAGATATATCTTCATGTAGTTAATTGAGTTGTTAGATTCATGCATTATGCATATCCTACCCATCCACCTCTTCAATCCAATTTCCTATGAACCATCTTTTTTATATCTTTACTGCCTAATATGGTCGTGCTCAAACACAGCTTAATTGGTTTAGCAAATGTGAGCGTACAGTGGAATCAGATTACAATCATCAATCTGGATTAGAAGAACTTATTCAGGGGGCGGTGAAAAACATGAGTTTGTGATAACGCAAAATAATCAGACATTAACTATGTACTTACAGTGATCTCCAGAAAAAATTGAAAGGGCTCATCCTCTTAATTTACAATTAAAACAGAAGATATTTAGAATAGTAAATTTAAGAACAAAATCGTGTCCGTCTTAATAGATTCCATAATATTTTGGGTACCACTGTATCCTAATTTTATTAAACATTTTAAGAAGGACTTTCTTTTTAATCGTAACGCTTAGCGATCTTGTAACTTCAATAGTTTTCATTTTACAGCATAGAGTGAGATATTAAAAGACCGAAGAAATTTTTGAAACCATGATTTTTTAAGCGATAAAACTGATAAATTGATAAATGCAAACCATCACATTTTTGTATCGATAAATTGTACAAAAATGCCTAAATATTTTCTATCCCTCCGACCTTGCAAACCTTGAATTAAAGTCTATGGTGTATGGATGGGATGGATTGCAAATCAATGTTGGGTGTAGGCAACAATAATATGGTTTTATTGCTCTATTATACTCTCATATAATTTTGCTTCATAGCTCACAAGTCACAATACAGAGTATAACAAATCATTTTTTGCGAGATGATCGGTTGAATAAATCTGCATGAGATAATGATTTGATAAAACTATAAATTCATTCTACAATCACCGTAATACGCTGAAGTATAACTAAAATTATAGACATCGCAGTTTTAAACAAATGCCCATATATAATCTTACTACTGATACCTTCAGATGAAATATTTTGGAGAAAAAAAATATGAAAAATATATTATGTAAATTCCATTTGTTAAACTAAAAAGTGAGAATGTCATAAAACAGGATAAAATATATAAGATCTGATTAATGAATTGATTATTACCGTGGGATAATGTAGATTTCAGGTAATTTATTAAGGTTCACTTCGAGCACTTCACTGCGCGTTTTTCATCCTTGTGCACGGAAGGAAATGGTTCGACTAAACCCCCCATATCCTTACGTGCACGCACACTTCCCTAGACGATACAGGGCCATTCATCCGAACTTCTGGTTGCAGCTAGGTACCCAATTACAGGCGCTGTTATATTATTACATTCAATTCATTAGTAGGATATTTTATGTAAGAATTGGAACAAACCTTAATTTATCAATAACCATGATTTTTATTTTAAAAACGCTATTTTGCATTCTTTTTGGTCGGATGAAGGGCCCTAGTATGGTTGAATGAAGGGCCCTAGTATGGTTAAAAATACATAGATTGAGTGTGGGTAACAGGGTAACAGAAGGCACGAAGAGATATGGATAGATAGATATATGGTTTCCTCAGATAGATAGATATATGGTTTCCTCAGATAGATAGATATATAGTTTCCTCAGATAGATAGATATATGGTTTTCTCAGAGATAGATGTATGGTTTCCTCAGATAGATATATATATAGTTTCCTCAGATAGATAGATATATAGTTTCCTCAGATAGATAGATACATGGTTTCCTCAGATAGATAGATATATGGTTTCCTCAGAAAGATAGATATATGGTTTCCTCAGATAGATAGATATATGGTTTCCTCAGATAGATAGATATATGGTTTCCTCAGATAGATAGATATATAGTTTCCTCAGATAGATAGATATATAGTTTCCTTAGATAGATATATGGTTTCCTCAGATAGATAAATATATGGTTTCCTCAGATAGATAGGTATATGGTTTCTCAGATAGATAGATATATATGGTTTCCTCAGATAGATAGATATATGGTTTCCTCAGATAGATAGATATATGGTTTCTCTGATAGATAGATATATGGTTTCATCTGATAGATAGATATAGGGTTTACTCAGATAGATAGATATATGGTTTCATGAGATACAGAGAAAGGTTTAGATAGATAGATTATGATGGGTGTTATTTTTGTAAGTATTCAATTGGTAACTTTATTAGGTGACCTGACATTTTTGATAATTCTTAGTACCAAAATCTAGTAGATAAATCTATTTAATATATATGTATCTATTCATTTGTATATATGTTAGCTATAGATGGCTAAACGGCTGGACCAAATGGGCTGAATTTTTTTTAAGGAGACCCATGGTTATTATAGGCTAAAAATTCATTATTTTCATTTCAAATTAATTTGTATTAAAATTTTTTTTATTTTACGATTAACGCCGAGCATTTCAGTTGGTATAACTTATAAATTTGTTTTCCTCTTGTTGCTTACATTGTTAAAAAAATAATTTTTAAATTTTCTGTAACATTTATTTTTCTACAAGCCTGGCAGCATAATCAAAAGCCTTTCATCTTATTTAAAAAATTGCCATTGAAAGAAAAAAGTGAACCTTTAATACAAACTCTGAACTTTTAATCCGTATATTTTTGCAACCCAATGTATAAATATCTAATATTTACACTATTAGACTGAAAAGATATGGGGATTAGATTTAAGTTTGTGGCAAAGATTCTAGTTCTTTGCCTAAAAACTATAAAAAAAAAGAAAAAAGTTTCTGAGATTCATATTTTGATATTTTTATCACTAATCAGATATGTTTCTGATAATGTTGAATCCAAGGAACTATATACAGGAACGCCCAACTCAGATATACGCATATTATGTACTGTACACTGTGGGAGGAATGTAAACAAACCCAGTGTCCCCACAGAAGTTGAAGGGAATGGATGTGATATTACAGTCCAACAAAAAACAAGTTAATATATCAAGTTAGAGCGAATACACATGATTTTTGGCTTTCTGGTCAATATGGAAAATACAATAGCAATATATTTTTATTCCACCCCTTAAGCCCTTTTCCCTGAAAAATGATGCGTTGCCCCTGAATATTTCTTGGTTGAATCAATGAATATGTACACAAATCTTATTTTTGGTCGTACTCCTTCAAGACAGTACATTATTAATTTTTATAATTTTTTAAGTATTTTCAATTTCCGAAAAAAAAATATTGCAAACTAAATTGAAGATTCCTTGTAATTTGAGAAGTTTAAATAACAAGATTGATCTTCAAAAGTTGACAGGTTTCTAGCCTCTAGTGAACTATTAAATGTAAACGATGATCTTGATGTTAGAACAGTTCTTGGAATAAGAGGAATAGAAAAACTTGCTGATATCTGCTCTTCTGGTTTAGGTAAACTTGATTCTACAGACTTGGATCTTTTAATAGCATTGTAGGAACCTTCTTGGGATATATTTGTACATGTAGTTGCTTGTTTACCTTCTCGTGTTACAGTATCACTGTTTTCAATCAGAATTTCGGGGCTTTGTCGATTTTTGGCCACACTTTGTTCAACTCCCTCAGAATGGTCAAGTTTTAAAGGATTGCTTGAACAGTCTGGAGTATGATAAAAAGACTCCGCCCTTGCTGACAAATTAGTTCCATTTTCACAACATATCACAACATCAAATTGGCTCGAGCTTTGTACAACAAAGGTTTTCACACTAGAACGCTGCAGCTCACTTTTTTTGATTAAACTCGGTTGGTTTTGGAATTTTGCTTGTGGACAGCCTTCATTTCCTTTTCCAGCAAAATTCCTGGCATTATACCTTGATATAAATTAGTGTAATAATGTGAAACAAATGTTCAAAGCCACTGAGCACCTGCCTCAATCAATTAATCCCTAATGATATCTTTGCAACCTTTGTTATTTAAAAATATTGCCAGTTCATTTAACACGCTTCACAATTTGAATTTAACTTAATTTAATGAATTCAAACTGCCTACTGCCAGTTAAAATTAGAATTGCTGATTCAAATCCATCTCTAATCTGTAACTTTGAATTGGTAGTTCAAACTTAAACCGACAGTTAGTAGTTCAGCAACGTAGCTCAAATTCATTAAATTTGGTCCCAGGTTGCAAAGATCTAAGAATTAGAAAATGTGAATTTGAGTTTTTAATTCATTTGATACATTTTTCAAAGTAAAAAGTTGTATTCCACTCTTCTATGAAGATTATATTTACATAGATCAAGATCTTTCCTTGCTCTGGTGTAGTCCGTAGGATCCCTCCTGCTGTTCTGATCTAGTCTGTCACTATAACTCGAATACAAGTTGCTTCTGATGCCACCATTAGTCGAGAGAAGACCAGGAGACGTGGGCTGAAGATGGCTACCGGAGGAAGACAACGGAAACCCGTTCCATCTTCCTCTTGATGAATGCTGGCTTCTAAACGACGAGGAAGTTGACCGGTAACATCTTGACGTAGTTAAATGCTGGTTTCTGGAAGAATATCCGATATATCCCTCCTCTATGGAGGTGACTGGATGCTGGTCGACCTCTAACTGTTCAGCTAGGGCAGGCAGCTGTTCTTCCCTCGATCTACTAAAGGAGGCCCGGATAGCCGTAGTGATGTATCCCCTTCAGTTTAGAGGTTATCATCAACTTACAATTATAAACTCAATCTAGTTTTATTAAAAATTGTAAAAATTGTAAATAAATTCAGTTTTTGTCTAAAACTCAAATTTTGAAATCCCGAAATTTTGGCAAACCATTATCATTTGATATAACAGAGTTATTAATTTGAAAAATCAAAATTCTTAGACATAGGGTTGCAAAGATACAGAAATTAGAAAATCAGGGTTTGTGGCAAAAACTCCATTCCTTTTGAATTTATATATCTTTAATATCTAACAGATAGTGTAGGCCTTTGATATTTCACATTCTTATGATTATATATCATTCTTTATGTGATTATAAATCTTCCTTAAGCTGGATCCCCTGAGCAGTGAGAGATTTAAGGAACTCCTGAAATTAATAATCATAACATTTTTGTTCATCCTGTATAATAACAAGTTGACATTTTTCACACCCTGTATGGTAAACTGCTCTTTTCCCCCATAGATCCATGAGTAATGTAATCTGTTTGAGAGATCCTTGATATTATTTGATGTGTCTAATTGGCAATCTAGTGACTTGAGAAATAAAATAAAAAATATTTATTTTTAACATTAGTCTTAGCAATAAGGTTTTTGAAAGTAATGAATCAAAGGGAAAAGCAGGACAGGAATAGCAGGACAGGAATAGTAGGACAGGAATAGCAGGACAGGAATAGCAGGACAGGAATAGCAGGACAGGAATAGCAGGACAGGAATAGCAGGACAGGAATAAGTATAAAAATTGTGAATATTTAACAACTGCCTCTTAAAGAGATTGTTCATCAATGTAAAACTAGGTCCCATCAAACAGGGGAATAAAGTGACGACTTCTATATCGTCTTTGTTCCGCGTGGCATAATTACGTGAAAACAAGAATTAAAACTACTAGTCTAGGGAATTCCAAAATGTGGTTTACCATTTGTGCACCTTAAAATTGACAGAAATAAATAAAATTAAATACTTTCTTCAATATCTCCTTAAATTTTGAAGATACAAAGAAGGCCGACCACATTTTTGAAAAATCGTCATACGTTCAAGCCTTTGTTTGATACACTCTTTATTATATCGAAAAAATGAAGACGATCTTTAAGTTTTCTCTTAATTCCCATTTTTATTGGGACACCCTGTAGAAAAACCGGTATTACAAATGAATACCGTTCAATATAGCAAATAGGAGAAATAGATTTAAAAAAATTGAAAAGATAATATTAATCTGATAATGGATTGAAGAGCATCAGGTTTTATTCATAGTTCTCATTTACAACGAACCCGACCTTTTCTGAACAATAAAATGAATTCATGAGTTTCTGGCAAAAAAAAGTCTACACTTCATAGACGGATTTTTAAAAAAAATCATTCTTCTTAGATTGTACAATTTTACAATATACATCTATCTACGAAAAATAGAAACGACGTTGCTCAGTGCTAGACCTTTTCAGCTTCAATAGACAAAACTTGGTGAAAGCTTCAGAAATAAGTTTAAGCGATAAGATAGATAGAAATAAGATGTGTTCATTGTGGAAAAAATAAATGTACTTTTTGTAATAGGTTTAGTTGTATTTTTGCATAATCTAAATTTAAACGTTCTTGAAGATTAAAAGAGGGAGCATAGAATACACTGAATTAAACTTGTATTTAATTGGTTAAAGTATGTTTACATTAAACCGACATGTCTAAGTTTCTGAATTTGTAATGAACCGTTAGCCAAAGAGTCCTTGTAATAACAACTTTTATGTGAAAAATATCTTCAAAGATACTGAATATTCGCCACAAATTCGAATTTTCTAATCTCAGTATCTTTGCAACTTGATGTTGCAGACCTTTGATATTTCAAACTGAGACAATTAGAGTTTGTGATGACTGTCCAGTTATTATAGCTCTAAACTGTATGTTTTAATATGTTTATCGGATGCATCAGCTCTATGGAATTGATGATAAGAAAAGAACGATTGAGTCTCAGATATGAGTTTGTTATGATTTCCTTAAAGTGACGCTTCTCACAGACCGGTTACCAATACTGTTTCTAAAATATTATAGTCTTTATTATTTAAGAAACTTATAAAGTGCTAGCAACAAACTCCCTATATCTCTGCAACCCGATATCGTAGACCTTTAATATTTTAAACCATGAGTTATGTTAGATCAAAAAGTCAAAGTTTAAAATATCTTAGGATTCCCCTACGAGGCTGCAAAGATAAAGGGATTGGAAAATTTACGTGTATAGCAATAATTTAAGGAAAAGCTGGAGGAAATTTAGATAATTTAATAGTAAATGGACGGGCAAAGGGAGGCAATAAAAAGAGAAACTGCGGACATGCAGATGGAGAAAGAAGAAGAAAAATAAACATCTTTTTGCCTCGTACCATTTTATTTATAACAAAAAAATTGTAAAACATTGTTAAAAAAAGATTATTATAGTAAGTAAATTATATGAAAGCTCAGTTATTTCAATTGCATGCAAAAAATAAAACAAAAACAATGTAAATAACTCAGAAGTTATGAAAAACAATTATCAAATATAATGATTTGGTTGTCTAAAGCGTCCAATACTGTTTTTTTTTTCAAAGTTTATTATTTACAGATAAAAAAATGGTAGAAATTTATGTCTAAAATCCAGAATTTTCAGACTTTTGATGTAATTTTTTTCGCCCCCAAATTTGGGTTTTTATGAAGTAGATGTGATAAAATTATCCATTGTGATTTTTATTCCGGGTGAAGCGGAAATATCAAAGTTGATCTCTATAACTTTTGAAACATTGATAACTTCAAAATTGCTTGAAATTTGAAAAAAAATTATTTCAAAAATTATTGACCTGGATATACCAGACCTCTCTCCACGGTTGAACAAATCATTGAGAAATGATTTTGCAGCCGTTCTAGAATATTCCAAAATACAACAAATTTAAGTTTAGATTATTTTAGAATTTTTGTTGTTTTTGTTAGGTCGGTTTCATTTTATCTTTTTTTGAGTTTTTACACATTAACAAATAAGTTAGTACCTGAAACGCTGCCCAATAGCACAGTAGATGAAAAAGTTTAAAGTTGGATTGAGAACTAAAAAATTAATCTTTTTTGAATTTATAAATATCTTACTTTTGAATTTATAAATATCTAGTTTTTAATATAAAAATATTTTGATTTTCAATATAAAGATAACTAATTTTTAATATAAAAATATTTTAACTTTAATAAAAAAAAATTATTGCTTATAATTCTCACATTTCGTTTAGAATTTACAAATAAATTTTTTTTTAGTAAATTTGTTTCCATGAAAGTAACTTAACACTCATCTCAAACGTAAATGTTCAAATCCCTATATCTTTACAACATTAAGTTGCAGAGATATACGGAATAGAATATTTCAATTTGTTGCGAGCTAAGTTTCTTTTTAATGGGTTTAAGAATCAAATGTATAAAAATGTGTAATATATTACCTAGCAGAATATGACTAACAAACCCTAGAATAATGTTCCAGGCCGGATACCCATGTCCAACCAAATTCACCGTAAGACATGCTCTAAACAATTTTTTTTAGTTTTTAAATTTTCAATTCGAACCTTCTAGTTTTTTAGAAATATTATTGCCCTAACTTCTTCTGTTAAATACGAATTTCTGAATAATGAATCCAAAAAAGAAACTTTAAATCGTAATTAAAATATATATTTTAACATTTACATAAATATGTAAAGCAAGAACCAGAAAATAGTTGAAATTACAGTCGTCTAATTTTTTTTTTAATTATACAACTGAACCAAAAAGTCAAAGCATATTATTATTAAAGAATATGCCAAGACATTTTTAGAAATATATTCGTTGCTAACAAAGAGAATAGAATATATGATAGAGTGGAATTTACTAGAAAAAAAGTGTAAAACGGCCATTTTGTTGTATTGTTTCCATACTGCAGGTATACTTCACATATTTGTGCTATATAACCTTTTGGGCCCTGAAACATCATTTTATAGAAAATCTAAAATTAATATTAAAAGATAACCAAATTATGAAATAGGCTGGTTTCATAATTGACCAATGATCATTTCACATAGACTCTATGCCTTCCACTTTACAAACGATGAGTTACCGTTATAACTATAAATCAAATGATGTTTTTATTCACCTAATTCGTTTTATAAAGTTTATTTAACAGCTTTAAAAAAAAATTGAAATTGAAATGAATAGTCTAGGGAACATACTGTATTAATGTACTCTACTGCATATAATTTGTGAACATTTACATGATTTGTACACTTTGAACTCCCTTTCAGGCTAAAAGGGACTGAAAAAAATCATACCGAGGGATTGTCTAATTCCACTTTTATATTTATACTATTCTGGTTGCAAAAATTACAAATCTATAAAATTCTTGGGTAAAAGAAAGAACAAAATCTCATTTAGGTTCCCATTGTACATCGCACCTTCAAGATAAATGTAAAGTTTGTCATTCTTTTGAAACTATTGTAAAAGTTCTGCAATCATATCTTTTAGAAAACTCAGCTATCAAGTCCAAAACTTTTAAATGAGATAAAACAAACAAAAAGTTAGTTTTCAACAGACAGGACCTGAATATTAGCGTCAAACTCAAATGTTGTAATTCTTTTAACTTTACAAGTTTAAAACATCAAAGATTTACATCTGAGTCTAAAACTAAAGAATGCGCGAATTTTAAGTTCGAGGTTAAAAGTTCTGTAAAATAATGAATAGCTACTTAATTATTAAACTTTCTCAATTTTAATGTTGAATTTTCCGGGGAAAATCTGAACCAATCAGAGAAAAGGATTTTAATAATTATTACGTAAGTATCGATATTCGGTAATCAGCTGTTTTTTAAATTTTAAATTATTTACGTGACGGAAAACAAAACATATTTCCAGTTACAACCGTATTTTGGGTATCCGTGCAAACATTAATTAATCTAAAACGTGAAATTTTATTATAAATCAAGGTTTTTCCTTTTAAATATATCGTAATTAGTTGAATGCCGCTTACCGCTGAATGATGATAGACAAATAGGGATTGCGGGAATTCAAGATTTTAACCCTGTGGTTAAATATTTAACTCGTCGATTTCGGCGAGTTAAATATTTAACCACAGGGTTAAATATTAAACCTCTCGGTTAAAGTTCAGGTTTAAATTAAGTCAAATGTGGCATTTAACCATGAACTTAAAATTTAAGTCAAAACTTTTCGTTCTTTAGTTTTAGACTCAGGGGTGCAAAGTTGAAATTGGATTCTAACCCATCAACAATATTTTTATTGCAATTAATGATGAACGCGAAATTACCTTGTAATATCGAGAACATACACGTCATACACTGTCAGAATACATCTAAACATCAATATTCAATAAAATGAGGGAATAATGCTAAACCCCATAAATTCAAAAATCTATAAAGATATTCATGTTATCGATATTTTAAATATTCAATAAATGAATTGCTATTCTTTTGGCAAACGGTTTAACCCAATTGAATGCATTAAATGTGAATTTTATTTTAAAGGGAGTGCTCGCGAAAAATGAAAGAGGGTATAGGCGTACGGCGAAAAATAAGCGCTTTTGATCGCTACTAATCTTACTTCTATTTGTTGCTTCTATAAGGAAAAAATTGTTAAAAACAGTTCATGCTGAAGAACGTAGCGTCCATACAAAATCAGAAAGTTTCAACATTCAACTCGGATCGTAAATTTAATTTAATTCCAAACAAATCATTCAGATATTACAAACAATAATCATCGATTATTTTTCAACTCATTCATATATAGTAAATATTTTATTATATTTTTTATTATGTTTTTTTAAATAATATTTTGCTAGCACTGGATTTTCGAACATTTCTGGAAAATATGAAAATGTCGTCTTCATTATCAAAAATCCTCGAAATAGGAATAAATGTTTTCAAAAGGAACTGTCAGTTCATAAAAATTAGAAAAATATTATGAAATATCAACTATATATGAATGCGTTGAAAAATTATCGATGATTATTGGTTGTAATTATGATATAAAATATGATTTCACTTATAAGAAATCACGTATTGGGCATACCCTGCAGGGATTACTTTATCCAAGGAATCAACCATGTAATCCTCAAATTCAAAAGTGCCCACATGATATCGAGACGTTTAAACTTTATTTTTAATGACCCTGTGTTCATTTATAAATTCGTATGTCCGATTCATAACGGCACTCTTTGTATGATTAACAATTAAAATTGCTAGAGTGTCCAATTCAATAATTAGTATGCAAAAGTATCAAAACATCAAATGCCAAATGATCAAATGCCTAATGTTGGAGTACACACGTAGGTCTACAAGCTAGAAATGTAAACAAATAAGAGGAAAATCCTAACAACGGATCGTACTGCATTGTTCATCTCAAAACCGGTTAAATGTCAACAACAAAGAGTAAAGAAAGACGAAGCGATAAGAGATAAGGAAAGAGAGGAACTGAAAAGAAAGAAAGAAAGAAAAGAAAAAGAAGAAAAGAGAAGAAAGGAGAAGAGAAGAAAATGAATAGAAAAGAAGACTAGAAAATAGAAGAGAAGAGTAGAAAATAGAAAAGAAGAGAAAGAAGCAAAAGTAGATTGTGGGAAAGAGAGAGCTAGTATTTTACAAACGTTTTATCAGAAAAATATGTTTAAGAATACCTTCAACTTTAAAATTAACTTTATTCAATAATTGTATGATATTTTTGAAAAAATTAATTGTCCTAACTGTTAAGCGTACTTTTCATCATCATTTAAAGATTTTTGATTATTGGCATTCGATAATCCAATATTTTTGCAATTCTCTTATCCTAAACATTGTAAACTGTACCTTGATGTGTTGCAGAGAAGAAAAGTCAGAACAATGACCACCAGCATTATTGACAAGTGCTCATCATTGACCTAGAAATAAGGCGAGGTTACCAAAAAAATGTGTGGGTTGGGGTCCACGGCACTTACACTCCAAAAAAATTAATTAAATGATGTATATCAAATTTTTTTATTTACTATACCTTACTTATTCAGTATAATACTATAAAAGTTTTGAGTTTGATCCGAGTAATCAGTTACTTTTTCATATAAAACCTTTTATCATAAATCTTCTGAAATTTTGTTGTAATTTATTTTTGTTTACCTCTTTTTTGTTCCGACTGTTTTCTGGTCTTCTAAGAAGTGGGGACTAGAAAAATTAGAAAAATAAAACATATTTCATGAAACTATAGTGTACTTTATCATTCTACTCACTTTATCGTGAATTTCATAATGAACGTTCTTTAAAGTAATCATCGTCCTATAAAATTAGCTGTACATATATATAGCACGTGTGCTATAAAGTTTTAATACTTCCCGGATTCTCTCTAACCAATATTGGATATTTCCAAAATAATTTTTTTCAATTGAAATGAAAATAAAACTGAAATCAACTTTATTTTTTACTTCTGCTTTGTTTCAAAGCTTATTTGATCTAAAGAAATAGCAATTGAAATAAGACAAGTACACAAATGTTTCAAAAATTACCTATAACACTATTTTTTGGCAACAACATAAATACATAATATTTTGTCCCTTGCTATAGCTCGGGACAAAATTGAATCCAAAATGGCTAGAACCATAGATAAAGATTGCGCATCAGACGACATTTTTTATATTGAAAGATATTAATGTAAAGAGATGTTTTAAAGAGATTCCTATCATATAGATCAACTAGGTCGGTTGTAAATATTAGCTGTTCTTATGTCATTGAGAACTTGTGGTGTACATGAGTTCTGTAGAGAGAAATTTAAGTTAGTTTAGTCCTTCTTATGTCCTTCTTCAGTTCTCGTCAATATGATATATTGCTCAGTGAAATATTGTTCAAATAGTTCCATTCCCGGAGTTATTTTACACTCTATTATGAAATCAATTTATAAAACACCAAACCACCCCGCTTATCATTGAAGTACACTTTGACTCCTAGAAGTTTGCGGACTGTACAATTCTTGGTGATTTTGCGTACAAAAGCTATCTATGTTTATTTATTTATCTATGGCTATAACCTTCTCGATAAAGAGAAAATTTCTGTTCAGAAACTTTATAACACTGGGAACCGAAATAACAGTGTTATACACAGTTATAAAAAAATGTTGTATTCAATTTTCTCTCTATACTTTTCCTCTCAATCTATTTTCTTGTGACAAATGAATTTGAAATAAATCGTATCAAAGAAAATTGTTGAATTAAATTTTTCTATTTTCCTTTTCAGATTTTTTTAATGTGAACATTGAAATACTAACTATGGCGGAAAATCTTTGGAAAAAATCCAAATCATTAAAATTTTTCTTTTGAAGAATATCTCCGTGATTTGACTTTTTGCTTTTCATGAAAAGATGAAAAAAGTGTATTACATTCTGATATCTTGTTAAAGTCAGATTATCCCATTCTTAAACCAAGTTTCAAAGAGTTGCACATTTTTATTAAAATTAATCAGATAGTTAGCTCTCTTTGAAATAATTGCATTTTTACTCTAAAATAATTTTAACTTGCAAAATAAAAAATCAGATAGTCATCTCTTCTAAAGAGTATTTGTTGCTCTTTATTGTCTGATCTAGTAAAAGCGCAAATAAACGCAAATTTTCACAAAATGAAAAATAATCTAAACTAGAAAGTAATTTAAAACTCTACACTGAAAGGGACTGTAGTTGGAACTTCAAGTGACCTTCTTCCATTCACAATAGTTTCAATAGAACTAAATATTTCCATTTACTGATAGCGCAGATTGAAGGATAAGGCTCTAATTGGTAATGAGATAGATGTTAGATAGATGTTACCGCCATACCGCCATTGGTTTAGAATAGACAACAAACACAACAAACACTGAACCCTGATTGGATCAGGTGCTAATGGACTCGGAATACAGGAGTGCAATTGATGCGGAGAATTCCCGATTCACAACGTTACCCTCTAAACCTTTATTTGATAAGTAATGGGAAAGATATCGTCGTCTTTCTCGCTTGAAAAGTGTCAAGTTCTTATAAGATTCCTATTTTGTTAATGTAGCAGAAATTCAAAATTCACATTTAAAGCGAAACCACAACCGAAAATACTCAATTTCCAAGTAAAAAAATATGGACATTTTATTCATTCGGGATCAATAAATGATAATGTTGTTAATCTAACATGGAGGCATTTACTTGAAATCATAACAGCGTCTATAAACACACCACACCACACACATGTGTATTGTTTACAATAATATATTTTACAAGGACACTTGGAATGTTATTTAAGTTAAAACACGAATTTAAAATGATAAAAATCCAAATTGGTTAAAATGTTTTCTATTTGAGAAATGCACATTGCACAACTTCAAATAAGGAAATTTATTTCGATGTTTATTTAACACTGCTAGAAAAAAAGAAATTATAAAATTATAAAATCCAGTTCTTCTTAATTATAAGATTGGGGTTTTAGCGTTCTAGTGAAAACCATTTTTAGTTTAGGAGAAAAAAAGCATCACACCTCCCCCCCCCCAAACCTGGATAGGGCTAACACTAGTTAACAAAGTGAAACGTCAGCATTTCATTTACTAAGATTTCATCAGAAAACTTTAATAATCTCTTCATTACTTTCTCTTCTTTGTTCATTCACTAAGCCTTTGTTTTTTTCAGCAATTACAAAACTAGATTTTGGAAATTTACTGAAAAGAACTTTGCTAAGAACTAATCAAGCTTTGTTCAAAATTGTTCTAAAATCTTGAAAAAAAGAACAAAAAAATTCTTGCAATTAAGTCTAGACAAACTTTCGTTGTTTGGCAGAAATGGTACAAAAAAAAGATTTCTCGCAACAAATCCTAGTTTTGAAATCCCTATATCTTAGAACACTAATGCATAATGGTGTAAATTTTTAAATATTAAACTTTGACTAAATATTATATTTAAGGTTTAATCATGTTGTGAAAATGGTAGTATAATTAAAAATTAGCGTTGGAGCCGAGTAATCAGTTCCTTTACCGGAGAAATTTTCAAATGTTTTCTAGTTAAAATATTTGCTAAAAAGAAAAAAGAAAAGCTAATTCAGGAGTAAATTTTAAAGATTTATTTGTTTGTAAAGTAAATATCATTAATGTTGTCATAAATTAAAAACTTCTCTCATTTTAGTTTAAAAACAAAACATTATTTATTTAGGATTTATGAAAAAAGAATAATTAAACATTGGGTTTGAGAGAAGGGCCTTTTATATATTGACAGCAAAGGTACTTAATTACAAGGTTATAATGCAAGGAAAGTTAATTGCAGTTCCATATACTCTACGTACATGTTGAAACAACTTCTCTCGGGGCGGAATTTTTAAGAAGAATATTGCATCAGTGTTCGTTTAATATTCGAGGAGGTTAAAAGCATTAAATTTTGATAATTTTGATAATTCACATAATAGTTTCCTAGAACCAGAAAATTTCATTGATTTTTTATGTGAAAGATGAATCTCGTGTCAGGCTTCGACATCCGTCTTGTGTTTACATTACCGCCCAGAGACAGTACACTGCAATAAAAAAGATGCGTACACCTCTGAAATAACTTTCCTTGCATTATAACCTTGCTTAATTGCACCATTTTATGAGGTTTAAAAGCTGGGTTTTATAGTTATTTATAGTTTCATTGACTGTTTTTTCGTTTGTTTCCAACTAGCGACAAATCGGCAAACCCGATAGATAGCGCCAAGATGTATTTCAGTTACTCATATGACCCCCAGGGAAGGTTTTGGCCGGTCGGTCGAAATTAAACAAATGTTTTTTAGAAAGGCGTCCAAATTGTAGTAAAAATATGTTTGAATCAATCAAAGAAAATCATGCAAAAGCAAGTATTTGGAAAATCAGTTCTTGAAATAAAGACACAAGTAAAAAATTCTGAAATTTACTCAAGTTCTTTGAAAAAAGTCAGGGATTAAAACCTTCAAAACGATTTGCAGTAGACATTTCTTTGACAGTTACAGAAATCAGGCCGTTTTTTCCAACTGCCTTTCTTGATTGTGACTATATTGGATGTTACCAAGAAAACATGTCTAAATTAATTATTTGACTATTGTTTGAAAAATAAATGTTCTTACCTTTCCATCTTCTCCCTCAACCAGACGATACATCTGCTGGCGGCGGCTTTCACGGGAGAGCCTAAATAGTTTACTTAAATATCAGCTTTTTTATTGTTTTCCTATTGTGAAAATACAAAAAACTTATGACAATTGCTTACTCCTCAGCACAAATTATCGCATTTATTTGTTTTAAAGATATCTTATTATCTCTCTTATTATCTTTTTTCATCCATTTTTGTTTGGTCGAAAATTATTTTTGTAAAGTTGTTTATATTTTCAATATAATATTTTAAATACTGAATTTTCAATTTGAATATTTTAAAAAAAATTCCTTTTTCTTTTATGTTTTTCTCAACTTCTTTGCAAAAACACAAACTTTTAGAAACTTTTTAAAAGTTACCTGATAGCTAAATATATTTTGTAATTTAGAACTGATGTGGCCAGAACAGGGATGACCCCCATCACTATCAATCTTTAAAAAAATCAATTTTAAAGATTTTCAAATGAAAAATATACTTTTAAATAGTTTAAATGTGAATTTGTGCATCCACAAAAAAGCAATTACATTGTATTGAGTAAAGAGGAAACATCCTTACAGAGATTTAATGCGTCTTAAAGGAATTAAGTCTTTGCCAAAAACTAAGATTTTCTAACCCCTATATCTTTGCAACCCAACATCATAACCTTAGATATTTCAAACTTTAAATCATGAATTCCTTTGGATCAAATAATCTAAGTTTAAAATATCTATGGTTCAAAACATTTGGTTGCAAAGATTTAGGGATTAGAAAATTTGAGTTTTTCTTATGATGGGGGGATGGGGATTGGAAGCTTCCATAATGTTTTAAGAATAATTTAATAATTACCTTGACCATGAATATATATCTAGATAAACAGGGTTTACTCTCAGCTTGGTAATCTTGAGTTTATATCTCTCTCCATCATGATCTAAAGTTAAATATTAATACAACTTAAAGGGACTGTAAGTTTAATTTTAAGGGACCCTCAGTGCAAAAATTGCATTTCCTGATTCACAAGAGTCCCTTGAAACCTTTATCTGATCAAGTTTGTGGAAGGTATAGGTCATTTTTCGCTAAAAGTGTTTCATTTTGATATATTTTTTATGCAGTAGAAATGCGCCAGTGATTCTTGCAAGAGAAACCAAAATTTTAAATATTCACTTCTCTAAAAATTAAAAACATAGATTACCTAATTCATACTTAATTTTTTAAAGGATACCGATCGGAGTCGGACATTGACATGTTTGAAATTACGCTTACTACTGTCACCCCCCTCCCTCCAGAGTCAATCCTGTCGTTTAAAAAACATTCATAGAGAGTTTTTTATACATGCTGTAGTTTTAAGCAGTAATTTTATAAAGATATAATATTCATATTTCAGTTTATTATTATTTTTTGATTTAAATAAAAAAACGAGATTGGATACTGTTTCAATACTGAATCTCGTATAGAGTTATTAAATATGAGAGGCTTCCTTCGATCTTTTGGGACATCATCATTTTTCATAATATAGTAATGGTTACAGATCTAAAGGATTCTTTGAATTAGCTAAACGCAATTATGAAACATTTTTATCATTTTGGAATGTCACCAAGTATTTGTTATGTTCGTAATTGTATTATATCAAATACATATTCTAAATTCTATCAAGTATATTACGTATCCAGGTTTATCCAACTGTTATAGTGTTTCAACGTCATGTTCAGCGAACATTTTAGATTTTACCCTAAAGCATTTATTTAAGAAGTTGTATCTTTAGCTTAACGTCTTAGGATTTCTCTAGAAATCAGAGCAAACTGGAAAACGACCAATATTGTCGAATTCGACTGGTTAGACCAATATTGTCGAATTCGACTGGTTAACCGATCTGAGCTGAAAACTTTAGAATGAGAAATCCTTAATCACGATCGCTTAATTTGATTATCCAATTTAAGCACTTTTGATTTTCTCTTAATCCTTTTTTTGGATATTTCGACTGAATAAAAGTTACGTTTGATTTCAATTACAAATACAATGCTATATCGATTGGACTAATATCCGATTGAATTAAGGTCAACTGTTCACAAGCCGACTTTTAGAGCATTTAAACAAATTTAAAGAACTTGAGTCTTTGTCACAAACTTAAATTTTCTAATCCTTATATCTTAGCAGCTTGATGGTGCAAACCTTTTATATTTCAAACTTAGATTTGATCTGCCAGAATTCATAGTTTAAAATATCGAAGGTCTACGGCATTGGGTTGCAAAGATGTAGATTAGAAAATTTGAGTTTGTGGCAAAGACTCAAATCCTTTAATCATGCTAATATGAAATTATTAAAAAGCATATTTTAGGAATATTGTCATTTCGAACGTTATGTTTTAATAAACATTAATCCAAAACGTACGCTCGTTCAATCGATGTTTAGTTCAATTGATTTGACACCATCAAAAATTAAAGAGTGCATCTTTACATGACACGCTGATGTATAAAGTACATGGTGTAGAATAATAAAATCCCTACCTAGAGTAACTTCGAGAAACTTTGTAATGTTGAATAGAACAGCCAGAGATAGCACTAAATAATAAAAACTATAAATATTTAATCCTTCATTCATGTTCAATATCATAAGAGAACATCTAAATGTATTTTGTGTCCAAGAATTGTGAAAACGGCTGAACCGATTTGGCCCAAACGTGGGACGGGAAGGGAGATAAAATCTATAAAAAATGTTATTTTATGATATACGCGGAAAGAATGGTGGTACTAGAATGTTTATATATAAAATTGATGAAATTGTTGTTAAAATCATTAGAAAAAAATGTTTTAACTATCTTTCATATTTTGTATTTATGCTTGCAAATATTTTGTTTTTAGCACTGGGGGTGGGGGGAAGGCTAAGAAAAAATAAAATAAATAATAAATTTAGATAAATGAATAGAACCTGGTAGAATATGAAGAAGCAACCTCCTTCTTCTAACCTCGGTATAGTCCTCTACTGATCGAGGGAGTCTGAAAAATGAAAAATTTCCACCTCATTTGAAAAAAAATAATGTTCTTTTCAAAATAAAGCTGTACTACAGTGAGTACCAGAAAACAGTGGAATATTTTTATTTTAATTAAAAATGACCCACAGGATTTTTTTATTCTTATAGCGACCTTTCCAACAAGAACTAAAAACTCATTACTCAGTTTTCTGGTTCTCACTGTTCGGTTTCTAGGGTTTTTCTTATCAGAAAATATACACTCCCCTTCCCCGTTTTTGAGATAACTTCTATTCCTTTCGATTGTATAAGAAAATGAATAATATAAAAGTCTTAAAGGTTTGATTTTTTGATAAAGGAACGGAGTTTTTCTCAAAAACACAAATTGTCTAATCCCTATATCTTTCCAATCGAATGATGTAAACCTTTGATATTTCAAATTTAGATTATTTGGTCTAACAGAATTCATAGTTTAAAATATCAAAGGTCTACGACATTAGGTAGCAAAGATATACAGATTAGAAGTAGAGTTTGTGACAAAAACTCAGTTCCTTTATTTATTATATATAGTAAGTTAATCTTCAGAAATCCTTTGAATTTGATTTCTTAAACCTTTTAATCATAAATATGTAAAACCCAATCAAATTTACAATTTTAACTTTAAAATTTAGAATATAATATGCATTCGTACTTAGATCTTAAATAATTCGAATGGTAAGTAAATAGCTTTTAAACCATGATGAAGAAAAAAGAAACCCATGTTTCATTTTATTCTATCTCTAACTTTTATTGTTAAAAAGCACGTAAAACCCCTGTTCCATTTATTCAATATGTAGATTGTAAAAATCTCGGTGTTTCTTCTTTTTTTCTTACTTTAATCATAAATATGTACAACCCAATCAAATTTCCAATTTTAACTTAAAAATTTTATAGAACGTAATATGCATTCGTACTTAGATCTGAAATAATTCGAATGGCAAGTAAATAGCTTTTAAACCATACAGAAAAAAGAAACCCATGTTTCATTTTATTCTAGTTCTAACTTTTATTGTTAAAAATCACGTAGAAAACCTGATTTTTTATAACTTTATTTATTCAATATGTAGAATGAAGATTGTAAAAACCTTGGTGTTTTTTTCTTTTTTTTCTAACTTTAATTAAAACTGCTACGTAAAACCCTTCTTTTTATCTAGGTATATTTAACCTTAAACTTGAAATTTGCAAAATATTATAACTATAAATAATATATATTATAACATTATAAATTACAGGGAGAGAGAAAAAAAGGTGTTAGGTCATTTCCCCAGCGCAACTTCCACAACACCATTTCCCCAGTCACAACTTCCCCAACAACTATTTCCCCAACCGCTAATTTCCCCAACACTAACTTCCCCAGTCACTATTTACCCCAACAGCAACTTCCCCAACATCAATTTCTGCATGCAGTAAAATCCTATCTGCCAGATCAAATAATGTGTGTGCTGACTTTAAAACTTTTGGTCACTCAGCAGCAACCATGGAGATGCACTTCTGTTCATGTCTGAGGCTAAGTTTACCAGAACCGACCTACCTGCAGAATATCAGGGTTGGTCACAACATTACTAATATGCTGTTTTTCAATAGCGGAAGCTCCACACTTTGCAATTGCATGGTTTATATTATTATTAATATTATCATTAGGTTGCTGGAAAGTGATATGATGATTGATGACGTTATCAGACTCCTCTAGTTCCAAAATGATTTAGTAGTGTCCCTTGATATTGGTTGATTGTAGGTTTTACTCATACTTACTGGCCTTGTATAAACTGCTAGCATGACGACTCTAATCCAACTGATTGGGTTTTTCACATTTGAAAAGGTGCGAATTTTTTATTTTCAAATTGCGCATTTGTTCATTGGAATAATGTTAAAAACGAAAAAATTTAATATTTTACTGCATGGGGAAATTGTTGTTGGGTAAATTGCTGTGTTTGCTGCATGGGGAAATTGTTGTTGGGAAAGTTGCTGATTTTACTGCATGGGGATATTGTTGTTGGGGAAATTGGCTGTTGGGGAAATTGGCTGTTGGGGAAATTGCTGTTGGGGAAGTTGTGTTAGGGGAAGTTCCGCTGGGGAAATAGCCTAACACAGAAAAAAATGCAACCTAGAAATTGCGTCATTAATCAAATCCTCGCATTCAAAAAATTTAGTCTATTTTTTCTGAAGTAGAAATACGCAAGTCACTTCATGAGAAATTATAATTGAATATATAATCAATTTACAAAGTTAATATGAAATATTTACTGAAGGATGCCCCCCCCCCCTCATAAATAGTCTTTTATTCGTCTTCTATCCTTTAACGTTGTAGACGTTCAGGATTTGAATCCAAGTATTGACAAATCCTTGATATTGAAGGGTTTAAGGGCCAATTTAGAAATGGGGTAACATATTTTTGCTTTTATTATGATCAAAGACAATTTCAAGGCCTGAGGCCTTTTTTTGACAATTTCTCTCCTTACCTTGAGAATGGATAGTATACAGCTGTGTATCTCTCAGCTGCTATTGACATCATCATAAATACTAAAACAAAATATTAAAAAGTCCGGTCGGTACCGGTCGGTATTTTGAAATCAAAAGTTACTAACTTGTTTATTTTGAGATCTATCGTTTTAATATCTTAAAAGCCCTTGAAAATAGATACACAAACCTCATATGTTATATTTTGTCAGAACTTAAAAAAATACATGTTTCCGACGTTATTTTTGTTAATGTTTTCTTGTAAACCTCAACTAGCACCTCAACTGAATAAGATGTCTTAAATTTAAAAATGATTAAGCCTTTTAGTAAGGGTGAAACTATGGGGCCTTTTTTTTAATAAAAGTGCTCAGATCCATCTTGTAAGTCATAAAATTTACATTTACAATTAGAAATAAAATTCCGATATAAAATGTCCCCTAACTCTGAGGGTAAAACCATAGTGTTTAAAGGAAGACGACATTATATCAATATTTGAGTGTATTTTAAGTTTTACACAAAGCAAATAGTTTCATTATAACTTATTGAATAATTTATCGTTAAATGAGGCTATTTAGACTGCACACCTGCTGTGTCTCACGTTTATTACACTATTTAAAGTCATAACTTGAGCCTAAAAGTCGTCTTCATATTCCAGAATTTTCTAGCTATCACTGTATTAGACCAAAATAATTCAATCAAATAAGGTCAAGTTAGTCAGGATTAAGAAGTTTTTTTTCAAAAACGCGGATTGACGGAAAATGATTGTATACTTAATTATTATTTACGCGACAAATATAATAAGTGTTTTTAACTTTTAGAAGTGCAATTTTATTTTGGAAATAGCTTTTTCTTTAAACTATTTTAAGCTTTGGAAGCATGTCTTATTTATATTTGTTGTATCTAGGTAGGATAATCAAAATTATTGTTTATCTCAATTTCTTTTCCCCTAGAATTTTCCTATTTAATTTTCCATGAATTTTTCCAAAATGTACGCAAGTTTCTATTTATATAAAGGAATTAATTAAAAATAACATATAATATTTGTTTGTTTAGGATTTTTTTATGGATTAAAACATATTTTAATGTTTTCAAAGAAACTGATTACCACAAATATAATTTTTGTAACCTTTGTCTTTGTAACCTAATGGTGTACACCTTTGACATTTAATAATAATTCCGAGGGCGTAGCCCAATGGTTTATAATTGAATCCATAGGGGTTTTAATTTCCATTGGTTAACATCGTTAGTCCCACTGAAAACCCGTTCTTTGTCGTAAATTACGAGTTTAACTAGTTTTCCCGAATGAAAGGTACCACCGCCGTTTACCCGCAATTGAACGATTTTCGCTATTTAAGAATCTCAAAACCAAGCTAAGAACATTCCCGCGGTCCTCCCGAGAATTGAATAATTACACGCAAAGCGCGCCAAAACCTTTTGTTCCCCCACCTGGCAAAAAATTACCCCCGACCCTCTTGACTTTTTTATCGTAAATTTTGTCAATTTTATGTCAAACCCATGAGCAGCCTGGGGGGTAGAGGGTTAAAAATGTGTAACATTTAGATTTTTTTTTAAAATATTCATTTTGAGTAAAAAATGACCTTTTAGCTAAACTTTTTTAAAAATCTACTCTTAGACATCAAAATAAAACAGCTTGAACGGGCCTGTTTTCTCATTTTGCGTTCCTTATTTTTCCAGGAGGACCGTCCCCCATAAGCTGCCTCTGGATTCAATTGAATGAAAAGCTATACTTGAAAATACGTTTACAGTCTCTTTAAGGCCTCGAGGATGTGCTTGTCTCTAGTGCATATTATTACCTGATGCAGTGAGTGATATACTTCGAAGAGGGTGAAGAAGATACGGAGTTAAGAGTATTCTAACAGTCACAAGCACTTTCAGTTCTCCTATACATATATACAGGGTTACAAACAAGCACTTTCAGTTCTCCTATACATATATACAGGGTTACACACAAAGGATGAAACTGTTAAACTGAAACTCTTCACATAAGCCGATCCCAAGGTTTAATGAAGTCTTCTACCTTGAATTTAGAATAGCTTCCCAAATGATTTGGCAAAATAAATATAATAAATATAAGAAAAAAGCCGTCTCATCCTTTGGTGGGTAACTTTGTTCATGTATATTATTTACACAGGGTCAAATAGAGTAAGAGAGAATCAACAATTTGAGGAAGCCTTTCTTCGTAATAAGCTTGTTTCTGTTTTATTTTTCTGGAAAGATTATTTTAAGAGTGTGCGTTTAACAAAACTGTCTGAACAGAAACTGAATGGAAATAAAAGAACAAAAAAACGAATAACTTTCTTTCAAAGTTCATCGTTCTATTTAGTTTAGTATTCTAAAAAACACCCTCTTTTGTACTTTTTTCGATCATTTTACTTTAATGTCTTGTAAATTTAATGTAAAATATCTATAGAATAATTTTGAACATCATTTTATGTAATGCAAATCATTGAATTTCTCTTGAATTTCAAATAATTTTTTATCACAACCGTATTTATTTATTGAAAGCGGTTTTGTAAAAATGAATATTGGTTTGTTGTTGAATAATACTAAAATTGTTCTGGGAAAATACTTAAAAAGGAAAAAATCATTCTTTTCCAAACTTTTTTTTGTAAAAAGGAAGAAATATTATTATAAACAAGAAAATGTATTTCTAAAGAATAAAAATTCCCCAAAAATGGTGAAACACTGAACCTAGACTCATCACTAGCATGCAGACCATGTAAACTACATCCACTGCTGCCAGGCTGATTAACAACTGATTTAACAATCAACAATTAAAAGAGAAATAATCAACCAAATTCAGTTTAAAGTTCAACTTAATTCCAATTAATCTTTTTTTAAATCTTGAATTCGATCGTAAAGGTTTTCCAATCTGAAATATTTTCATGTTCAATTGCTTTATCTTTTTAAATATTAATTGCGGCAGAGACAAGGAAGAAAACTGACAGTAGTGCACCAGATAAAACGTTATCTTCCGTTTCGGTTTTCAGTGTTAAAGGGAACCATGGTGAATCAGTCAGTGTTAAAGGGAACCATGGTGAATCAGTCAGGATTAAAGGGAACTGAATCAGTCAGGGTTAAAGGGAACTATGGTTAATCAGTCAGGGTTAAAGGAAACCATGGTGAATCAGTCAGGGTTAAAGGGAACCATGGTGAATCAGTCAGGATTAAAGGGAACCATGGTGAATCAGTCAGTGTTAAAGGGAACCATGGTGAATCAGTCAGGGTTAAAGGGAACCATGGTGAATCAGTCAGTGTTAAAGGGAACCATGGTGAATCAGTCAGGATTAAAGGAAACCATGGTGAATCAGTCAGGGTTAAAGGGAACTATGGTGAATCAGTCAGGGTTAAAGGGAACTATGGTTAATCAGTCAGGGTTAAAGGGAACCATGGTGAATCAGTCAGGGTTAAAGGGAACCATGGTGAATCAGTCAGGGTTAAAGGGAACCATGGTGAATCAGTCAGGGTTAAAGGGAACCATGGTGAATTAGTCAGGGTTAAAGGGAACCATGGTGATTCAGTCAGGGTTAAAGGGAACCATGACGAATCAGTCAGGGTTAAAGGGAACCATGGTGAATCAGTCAGGATTAAAGGGAACCATGGTGAATCAGTCAGGGTTAAAGGGAACCATGGTGAATAACTCAAGCTACTTTTAATGGACGGTCATTTTGTGGACTTCCTTTAACTACCTTTAAAAGAATAAAATGTGTAAACTTTCTTTAATTTACAGATTTTTAATGTTTAAAGCTTCTTTATACAATGTAACAAAACCTTTATTTTTAAAATAAAAGTTAAGATTTTATTGCTGATTTGTTCCTGATTGAAGGTGTTACACAACTCTTTCCTAAAATAGAATCTTTTTAATCTTAATCCTTTATTAATTTTAGAACAAATGATAAAACTTTTTTATATTAAAAACATCTTGAAGTAGTTATGCCAATGTGCTTTGTGCAAATCTAAAAAAGATTATTGAAGCATCGAGTTTGCACATTATGATGTCCATTTAATCAATGAGTATCATTATGATATGTAACACAAGTTAGATTTGTTCTAAATTTAGACATGTAGATACAAATTTTAAAAAAGTTGTTTTTTGACTTTAAATTACTACCGTATCAGGAGTAATCACGCAGATCTATCGCTGTAATAAAAGTGAATTCAACCTATAGAAGTATAAAGTCTGACCGCGTCAACCTTGTTGCACCAGCTAGTCCTGTACACAGAGCTAGACCAGCTTTTTTACCCCTGCCAGGCGGTACAGTACAAACTGAGACCCGAAAGGTTGACCCGGCTCGGAAATTCAAATGTACTCCGGCTGCCCGTGTATTGCATATACATATACACTATGGTTTGGTGTTTGTTTGTTTGTTTGTTTGTTTGCTTGCATCAAATAAACATCATTTTTTTGGTGCAACTCAAATGACACCAGGGACCGTCAAAATTGAAAAATTTCCCTTGCAAAAAATGTTCGACATATTTCCTGAAAATACACCAATTTAAACCGAAAATTCCCAAATTTTTTCTTTGTGAAAAACAATAAAAAGTTACTTCTTTAAGAGCAAAGCTTAAAATTAAAACTGTTAATAAAAATTGGTTCCCTATTTGCCTATTATTGATATAAATTATTATATTATTATAATAAACCACCTGCTAAGAATTATGATAGAAAATATGCTGGTCAGAATACCAACTATGCACAGAGAAGTCTAGAAAAAAATAACTAAAAAAAAGATAATTCTTTTTATAATTTTGTTTCACATATTGGGATTGCCTTTCAATTAAATTATTTTTAGTTATACATTGTGAATAGGCTTAATCATGAATTTTGTCTTTGACTAAAAATTGAAAGAGAGAAGTGATTTTGAAATGTTCCGCGATGAGTTTTGCAGAAATATTCTAAATGATAATTAAAAATTTATGAAAGTTTTTTAAACTGAAAATTTATTTAAATAATCTAAATGAGACCTGAATTACTCCTTCCATCCAGAACTGGGAAGTAGTAATGGTATAAACCTCCCAAATGGTATACACAGGACAAACTAAACCTAAATATAATGATATAAACCTCCCCAATGGTATACACAGGACAAACTAAACCTAAATATTATGGTATAAACCTCCCTAATGGTATACACAGGACAAACTAAACCTAAATATAATGGTATAAACCTCCCTGGTATACACAGGACAAACTAAACCTAAATATAATGGTATAAACCTCCCTAATGGTATACACAGGACAAACTAAACCTAAATATAATGGTATAAACCTCCCCAATGGTATACACAGGACAAACTAAACCTAAATATAATAATATAAACCTCCCCACACAGGACAAACTAAATTAGAAAATTTTATTTTATTTGAAATATGTAAATTATGCATGATCCCCTTTATAAAGATTATAATATTGAGTATCAACATATCCGACCTAGGTTTTTCTACTTTAAAGGTTTTCGAACTTACATTGAATTAATCTATTCTATATTTGCACAACAACTACTAGATAATTAAATCAGATATAATTTAGTTCGGATTTCGGTAGGTCAGTTTCCATGGCATCTATAAAAGACTGCAGTCTATATTACAGACGCCTTTATAAATCGAACCTGCATTTAGAGGTTTGATAAAGGTGGTGTTCACAGTACTCTCCATGTTTTATAAATAATTAGTTTTTTCTGAAATACCAAAATCAATAATTTAAACTAATTAGAAAAGATTTTTAAAAGAACACGTTTTGTGATTAAAGTATTAGGAATCAGCCCATTAAAAACCGTTATATACCTTAGAGGGTTGGGCGAACTAGGAGAGGTATAAACAAGAGTTAGGAGAGATGTAAACTGGAGCTAGCTGAAGTGTAAACTAGAACTAGGAGAGATGTAAACTTGAGCTAGCTAAAGTGTAAACTAGAAGTAGCAGAGGTGTAAACTGGAGCTAGCTGAAGTGTAAACTAGAACTAGGAGAGATGTAAACTGGAGCTTGCTGAAGTGTAAACTAGAACTAGGAGAGATGTATACTGGAGCTAGATGAAGTGTAAACTAGAACTAGGAGAGATGTAAACTGGAGCTAGCTGAAGTGTAAACTAGAACTAGGAGAGATGTAAACTGGAGCTAGCTAAAGTGCAAACTAAAACTAGGAGAGGTGTAAACTAGAACTAGCTGAAGTGTAAACGAGAACTAGGAGAGGTATAAACAAGAGCTAGGAGAGATGTAAACTGGAGCTAGCTGAAGTGTAAACTAGAACTAGGAGAGATGTAAACTAGAGCTAGGAGAGGTGTAAACTAGAACTAGGAGAGGTATAAACACAAGCTAGGAAAGATGTAATCTGGAGCTAGCTGAAGTGTAAACTAGAACTAGGAGAGATGTAAACTGGAGCTAGCTAAAGTGTAAACTAGAACTATGAGAGATGTAAACTGGAGCTTGCTGAAGTGTAAACTAGAACTAGGAGAGATGTATACTGGAGCTAGATGAAGTGTAAACTAGAACTAGGAGAGATGTAAACTGGAGCTAGCTAAAGTGTAAACTAGAACTAGCAGAGGTGTAAACTAGAACTAGCAGAAGTGTAAACTAGAACTAGGAGAGATATAAACTAGAGCTAGGAGAGATGTAAACTGGAGCTAGCAGAAGTGTAAACTAGAACTAGGAGAGGAGTAAACTAGAACTAGGAGAGGTGTAGACTAGAACTAGGAGAGATGAAAACTGGAGTTAGTAGAAGTGCAAATTAGGAGAGGAGTACATTAGAACAATAGGAGAGATCTAAACTAGAACTAGGAGAGATGTAAACTAGAACTAGGAGAGTTGTAAACTAGAACTAAGAGAAGTGTAAACTAGAACTATAGGAGAGTTGTAAACTAGAACCAGGAGAGGTGTAGACTAGAACTAGGAGAGGTTTAAACTAGAACTAACAGAGGTGTAAACTAGAACCAGGAGAGGTGTAGACTAGAACTTGGAGAGGTGTAAACTAGAACTAGGAAAGGTGTAAACTACTAGGAGAGGTGTAAACTTGAACTAGCAGAGGTGTAAATTAGAACTAGGAGAGGTGTAAATTAGAACTAGGAGAGGTATAAACTACAGCAAGGAGAGGTGTGAACTAGAACTAGGAGAGGTGTAGACTAGAACTAGGAGAGGTGCAGTAGACTAGAACTAGGAGAGGTGTAAACTAGAACTAAGAGAGGTGTAGACTAGAACTAGGAGAGGTGCAGTAGACTAGAACTAGGAGAGGTGTAAACTAAAACTAGGAGAGGTGTAGACTAGAACTAGGAGAGGTGCAGTAGACTAGAACTAGGAGAGGTGTAAACTAGAACTAGGAGAGGTGTAGACTAGAACTAGGAGAGGTGCAGTAGACTAGAACTAGGAGAGATGTAAACTAGAACTAGGAGAGGTGCAGTAGACTAGAACTAGGAGAGGTGTAAACTAGAACTAGGAGAGGTGTAGACT